AGGCATCCAGGAGTCGCGCTCACGCTCAGGACTCCCTTACAGATTACATAGGAATCGGGATATCGCTGCCCTTCGTGGCCCCGTTGCAGCCCTGCGTGGCCCCCTCGCTTTGTTTCGTGGCCCCGTTGCAGCCCTTCGTGGCCCCATCGCTGCCCTTTGTGGCCTCGTCGCAGCCCTTCGTGGTTCCGTTGCAGCCATTCGTGGCCCCATCGCTGCCCTTCGTGGCCCCGTTGCATCCCTTCGTGGCCCCCTCGCTGCCCTTCGTGGCCCCATATATGTATGCCCTTCGTGGCCCCCGCTCGTTCGCGCCCGTGGTGGCGCCATATGCATATGTCCTACGTGGCCCAATTGCTACCCTTAGTGGCCCCATCGTTGCCTTCTGTGGCCCCGCATTATCTGCCCTTCGTGGTTCCCGCTCGTTCGCGCTCTTCGGGGCCCCATACGCATTCCCTTCGTGTCCCCGCTGTTGCCCTTCGTGGCCTACTTCGTGTCCTTGTGGCCCTGCTGTCGTTTTCTTTCGCTCTCGCTTTCGCTGGTCGTCGTCGTCGCCGTCGTCGTCGACGTCGTCGTCGTCGTCGCGGTCGGTCCCCTGTCCGTCCCTCTTGGGGTCGGGTCGACGGTCCGCGGCCGCCCCGTCGCTTGCCGGGGCCCGGCCTGCAGGGAAGAAAGGTATACCCCCAAAAAAGGGTTCGATCGAAGACGAAGAGGGCGGGTATCGAGGGTTTGGGAAATAGGCGTTATTGGACACTCGAGCAGATAAGGGCGAACAGTCTTAAAATGATTGTTGTTGTTGTTGGCATTGTTGTTGTTGGTGTTGTTGTCGTTGTTGGTGGTGTTGTTGCCGTTGGTGGTGTTGGTGCTACTGTTGCTGCTGCTGCTGTTGCTGACGTTGTGGTTGCTGCTGTTGTTGTTGTTGTTGTTGTTGAAGTTGAATTTGCATCTCTGAACACTTATTGTTGGTCCCCCTCCGGTGACACTTGTGCTTCTTCAATTGAAGTGCCCCTCCTGAGGCTCGCGCCCTCTTTTTTATCAGGGCAAGGCTTCCTCCTCAAACTGCGTTGTTGGGCCCCGAACTACAACAACAACAACAACAACGGCTCCCGCCTGATACTTCCTCGCAATGTATTGGAGGATCGCGCTCTCGCGCGGGACGTCCTCACAATTTATGTGCGAATCGCGCTCGTGCGTGGGACTTCCTCGCAACTTATTCAGACGATGCGCCCTCGGCGCTCAGGAATCACACTCTCGCATTGAGCTTTATAGCGATTTGTCTTGGGAATCGCTTTATCGCTCGAGACTTCCTCGCGATTCATGCAGGACCCACGCTTCAGCAACCCGCCTGCTCGACCTGGTCGCCTGGGCCCGCCTTCCCGACCTGCCCGCTATGGGTCTGCCCTCCCAATCTGCCTGGCTGGTTCTACCAATTGGTTTCTGTGATTTGCCCCCTTTTCTGCTAATTTCTCTCGTGCTCCATCCCTCTCCCTCCCTCTTCCATCCGTCCTCTCTTCCCTTGTTTTAGGGGCTGTACTACATGCACGTGGCAGGTAAGGACGATGTACCCCCAAGGGGGTACGATTGAAGACGACGAGGGCGGGTATCGAGGGTTTGGGATATACGTATTGATTGGCACGTGAGCAGATAGGAGCGAACAGTAATAACATGATTGTTGTTGTTGCTGCTGCTGCTGTTGGTGTTGGTGTTGGTGTTGGTGTTGGTGCCGTTATTGTTGGTGTAACTCGGAGGCTAAGGGCGCGGTTTGAGGACCAGGACTGTCCTTTGTAAAAATCTGGGTGCGAGTTTTGGGAGGAGCACTTTATTTGATTGGCCATTGGGCAAGGGGGATCAACAACAGTTATTGTTTATAGAAATGAGAATGCAACGACCACTGTTTTGATGCATAGCGTTATGTTAACTTTTATTGGCTCACATGCCGTTCAACATGAACAGCCCACACCCTCGGTACCCGCCCTCTTCGTCTTCGATCGAAACCCATTTGGGGGTATACCTTCCTTACCTGCCTCGTGAAGCTGACGCAGCCCTCAAACACGGGAGAGAACAGAGGAGGGAAGAGACAATGGGGAGGGAGAAGGATGGAGCGCGAGAGAGATTTAAAGGAGGGGGGCTAGGAGCAGGAGTACAAGCGGCAGAACCAGACGGGGGGGTCGGGCGGACGGATCTTGAAGGGCAGATCGGATTGGCCCAGACGGCCAGGTCGAGCGGGCGGGTCGTTGAAGCGTCAATCCACCATGAATAACACGGAAGTTTCGAGCGATAGCGCGAGTCCCAAGTAATGTGTGAGAAAGGCCAAGGCGAGAGCGTGATGCTTGAGTCTTGTGGGCACAGCGCCGCAACAAAGTGTGAGGAAGTGCCACGCGAGAGCGCGAGTCATGCATAAGTGATGAAGAAGTCCCGCGCGAGAGCGCGGTATGAAATATAGTGTGGATGGTTTTCAAGTGAGAGCCGATGTTATTGTTGTTTCATATTGGGGCCAACGAACGGCCCAATTTGAGGCAGAGGATTCTCCCTGACAAAGAACAGAGCGCGAGCCCCGGGAGGAGCATTTTCATTTTACAAAACCTAAGGCGCACCAAGTAGGGGGATCAACAATAATTATTGGTTCGAAATTAGCAACAGCAATACACACAAACCAGGTGGAACCTGGGGATATTTAGATGTCTGTGGCAAATCCCCCACCGTGTCAGCGAAGCATTCTGTGTGGCGGCCCTTCGACCACCGCCCAGAAGACCGTTTCATGGAACACCTCTCATCCCCATGCCGTGAGGAGATCTCATGGGAACTATTTGGCCATCTTTGGGCAGCATTGGGCTCCTGTGTGGCAGTCTTGCGGCCCTACCGACACGTCTCGGGGCTCTATTCGCCGTCTGGGAGGGCTCTCTTGGATTCGTTTTCTGGTTCAGTCGTGGGGCCGTCTTGGGTCCCTCCAGATGCCCTCTTGGGCCAACTTGGGACCCAAGGTCCGACTAGGGGCATTATTGAGGCTCTCAGTGAGCCCCTTGGGCCCTCGAAGACCGCCAGTGGGTTGGACTTCGACCGAAAACGTAGAAATCGAGAAACATTAAATCTAGAGAAATAGATTGTGCTGGTTTCGTCGAGGCTCTCCATGTGAGCATTCTGGAGGTGTTTGGGGACCCGTTGGAGGCCTCTTGAAACGATCGTGCGCTTCTGAGTCATGTCTGAATGGCTCTTCGGAGCGTAGTGAGGCAAGGTTGGGCCATTTAGGCGGCCCTGGTGGCCTTCCCGGGCTGTCGTGGAGGCCATCCTTGGCGTCTTGGACGCCCCGGAGAGAGCCAGGGGGGCGTCGAGGCGCCCAGGAACCCCTTGGAGGGGGGCGCGATGCACGCGGCGCGTGAGTAGAGGGGGGCCCTTCTCACTCCAGCAGAGCATATCAACAGCAGCAGAGGTGAAAGGCGGGTCGAGGAGTGGGAGGTCGGCGAGCGAAAACGTGCAGCCCTAGGTATTCCTTCATGGATTCCCAGGAACGCCGACAGGCGGGACAGGGGTGAGAGCACGGCCATGTGCACCTTAGTGCATGTTTTTGTGCAAGGGATCGTGGCCGTCCATTGAGGCGATAGCACGATTCCTGAACAATTTGTAGGGGAGTCTCAGGCGAAACGGCTGTCAAATTGGGTGGTCTAGGGCTCCCCGTCCCCCCTGTAGGATTATGTTGTGGCTTTTCACTTCTATTAGAACCCTCTAGGGGAACGCAATTAGTGATTGGATTAAAAGGCCCAGCCAGACACCACTTGGCTTTTCACAACGCCTCAACGTGCCATGAGGCACTGTGGCGGATACGGTTAGGAACGTTGGCTTAGCGTGTAGTTCCGCTGGTTCTGGCCCACCACGCCTCGGCGCGACACGCTAACCACATCCCCCTTCACATTTCCAAGCATCAGCGTTCAGAGTTTTTCTCAGCCTCCCGCCCCGCGGAGCGGGGCGTTCACGCTATCCGCTCGCACGGCATCCAAGATCACCAAAGCCACGTCTCTCAACGTCCCGCGAATCATAGCAGGCAGCAGAAACAGGAATGCCGCAGCTCCGTAGCCGCCGCAACTGCGGTGAAATAATCAGCAGGGCCTCTTCCGACCCACGTCGCCAAGAGAGATGATGTTCTTTGCGAGGAGCAGTGCACGGCGGCGAACTCGCGGCTTCAGGGCGAGACACTGGACAGATAGACGAGCCTCGCATCCTGCCAGAAAAAGCCACTCTCAAGCTCGAAGGGGAAGAAAAAGGGGGGAGGGAGAGCTTGAGCACAAGTGGCAGTGGCCATGCGGCGAAGCTCCCTTCAGTGCCTGCTTCCCGTACTGAATACACCCAGCAGGGCCTCTTCCGACCCACGTCGCCAAGAGAGATGATGTTCTTTGCGAGGAGCAGTGCACGGCGGCGAACTCGCGGCTTCAGGGCGAGACACTGGACAGATAGACGAGCCTCGCATCCCGAACCCGAACGCGGATTTGGCCGAAGGCCGAAAAAACATTCAGGGCTTCGCCCCCATTCTGCGAGAGAGAGCCAGGGAACGTTTATTTTCACACGTGCGAATGAGGATAGCGGCGGCGGCACGGGCGAAGGCGGCCGGGTAGGCGGCAGCAGTGGCTGTCCAGTGCTTCCCGCCAGGCGCGCGCCCGCTGAGCTCGAGGTGGGGCCGGAGGGTTCTGCTGCACAGGCCACGAGGGCCACTACACTTCTTAGAAAGTTCCCACAGCTCTCCGATGCCCCAAGATTGCACCCTGGTGGCTTTTCTCCAGGGTGCACCAAATTGACACATGTGACACACGACAGAAGTGCTGCTCCTCAAATTCAGAAGTTTCTGAAAACGAGGGGAGGACCACATGAGGCTGGTTTGCGGATTCTCAATCATAACACCAATCCCGTATCTCAAACACGCACGGATTACTTGAAGGGAAAAAAGGAAAGACCTATTCCCAATGTCAAGCTTACTACACTGCTCAGGCGAGAGGTCGGGCCGACCGTCAGGGCGCTGCTCAGTTCGCAGCGGGGCTCGCAGCGCGCGGGTCCACGTACTGCACGGTGTGCCGAGCCACACGCCTGCGATGACCCCGCCGGCGATCCAGCCTAGGATCCTGTAAGGCTGGGGTCAAGTGATTCTCCAACGGTGAGGCATTGATGTCCAGGCTCAGCGCGGCATAGCCCATGGCTTGTGCGCTGGCCGCGACGCGGCCACAGCCTCCGAAGAGCTCCAGAAACAGCAGCGACCTGAGTCGTACGGCCCGGCCCAAGCTCGCCACGAGCTTCTTGCCCAGGTACGCGCCGACGTCCCCGCCGTCGACCAGGTGGGTCACGTTGCCGGCCGCCTTCGTGTGCGGCCGCCGGCGGACGTGGCCCCGGCGTTCGGGCCCGAGAGCAAGAGGGCCCTGACATTCGCCGGGACCTGGTCGAAAAGCGGGCCAGTCAGCCCGAGCTCCACGAGCGCTGTGAACTGGGACATCACGAAGTTCCCGAAACTGAAGACGTCGCTGTGTACCTCGTGCAGCTCGCGAAGGAGGCGAGTGGCCTTGGTGTACCGACGAAGGCTTGACGACGACACCCATCGGCCTCGAGCTCGCACCTGCTCTAGGCTTCGGCGGCCGGCCAGGAGGTCGTCTGACGCTCCGCCGTGGCGAAGCGAGTAGGGGTGCGGAGCGAGCTGCCCCAACCCCAGCAGCTCCGCAGCGGCCTTGAAGGTCACCCTGAACTCCGTCGCGTCGAAGTCCCACAGCGAGGCGTCCGCGTGCGTGGCCGCCTGGAGTCCCGCCAGCACAGGGAGGATCCAGCTGTCCTGGTCGATGAGCACCGCGTCGTCCGACGTGCCGGTCTTGGAGGGCTGGCCGAGCTCGAAGTCGTGGAGTAGCAGCCCCCAACTCGCGTAGCTCGCTCCTGCCGCCGACACCGGGGCGACCAGGTGCCTCCCCAGCAGCGCGATCCCTTCCAGCGGCCTGAGGTAGCAAATGAAGGTCAGCATGGTGTAGATGGCCATCCTGCGACGGCCGAGGTACAGCATCACCCCCGCGATCGCCGCCGCCCCGGTCTTGGGCATGGGCAGCCTCGAGCGCCCAGGAGCCCGTCGCTTCCAGGCGCTGGCTGCTCGGCACGCGCGCGGCAGGTACAGCCCGCTGCGCCGCGCCAGGCCCGGGAAGACGTGCGAGAGCGCCGCGATCAGCTGCGTCCCCAGGTCCGAGCACTTGCCGTCCAGGAACTGGTGGTTCAGCAGCGCGGTGACGGCGTTGTCCAGCGACTCCCAACTGTCCCAGTCCAGGCGGTACATCCGGCAGAAGAGGACCAGCGTCGCCAGGCGGTCGCGGCACTGCCTCTGCGCGTTCGGGCGGATCGCCGCGGACTCGAGGAACGAGAGGCCGGAGGTCTGCACCGTCGAGGCCACCACGAGCTGGGCGTTCTTTGCCCGCTCGACCGTGGCCTGCGCCGCAGCTGGCCGCCGGCGCGGCCCCATGGGGCCGAAAAAGATGGACGTGGTATGGAGTAGTGAAGTAACCGTGATCGCCTCGAGACGGATGGTCTGCAGGATTGAGTTCCGAAGGTACCCAACGCACAACTATCTTACATCCTGTGGTCAATGATAGAGCGGCCATCTTCTGAAGCACGTGCCGGAGATATCGAGAGTTCGCCCGCCCCTTGGTGGCCGCTAGGGCCAGTGGTAGGTTATCCACTATAAACAGGATCTTCTTCCCAAGAGCCCCAGTGTTTCTGAGCGTATGTCGAATAGCCATAAGGAGCGCCTCCCCCTCCAGCTCTAAGATGTCGGTGGACCCAGCAACCTTTGAAGCGTGAACAACCTTCCAAGTGTCAGACTTCAGGAAGCCCAAGGGGACCTCGTCGAAGGCCACGGGGTTGTCGACCAGCAGGTTCTCGAGGGCCTTGTCGGGGCTACCAGTGGAGTCCTCAGCTGCCTGATGGAGAGCATGCTCGCGAGCCCGCTGGGCCCCTTCAACCCGGAAGCGCCACCTCTCGCTGCAACGGCCGATCGAAGAAACCAGTGAAATAGGAGCTTTTCGGACGGTGACACCGAGACCGAACAGCGACGCATCAGAGGCGGCTACCTCGGGCCACCACCCTGCGCTGACGTCAACGCTGAGCAGCGGTAAGATACAGCGTGCTTGCCAGAGCTCGCGTCGCACTGATCTCCAAAGACGCGCCTGCCGAGACCCGATACGCTCGGCAAACTGGTAACTGGCGTTGAGCAAAGAGAGGACTTCTCGACGTATCAAACCTGCCCAAGTGAAATGTCCAATGATGACCCTGAGGGCGTCTCCAGAACAAAAACCTCTCCTGAGCAAAGCGTCCAACCCGAAGCGAAGTCTCCAAATGCTTCTGGCCTTGATCGAAAGATGTCGCCCTCTCTTCAGCTCTAGCCCTACGAAAGTGGCGTCCCGCGCGGCAGGCTCCTCATCGTGAGTGAGAAGCCCCTTCTCCGTCAGCACGCGTGCGATGGCAAGGGCGGCCTGGTTGACGAGGGCGGGGGGGCGTCCCAGGGCGGCGTAGTTGTCGACGTAGCCGGCGACCGCCACGGCGCCCTCCCGGTCGACCACGACCCCCGCCTTCCCGTCCTCGACGCACTGGTCCACGGTGAACCCCGCGGTGACCATGGCGCGTCGGAGCACGCCCTGACAGAGGGCCAGCGCATGGCTCCAGCCCGTCGGCAAGACGCATACGCAGGGCTGCACCCGCGCCCCTCGCGCGAGCACAACCCCGTCCAGATGCGTGATCCCGAGCAGACTGGCATCCAGGGCGGGCAGTCTGAAGTATGAGGACAGTCCGTCTGGCAATCGTAGTCTGTAGAAAGCATTGTCGATATCACCCGAGGCCAGGTAAGTGTCGTGCCCAGGGTTCTCGAAAGCAGCGAGGGCCGTCGCAGTCGGCAACGAAGTCCGAGCCGGTCGACCAACAAATAGGTTAGCATACCTCGTGTCAAATATCACTCTCAGCTTCTTGTTCTTCTTCGCGACGAAGAAGCAGCCGACGGTGGCTGCGTCGCAGTCCCTCTTCAGCTCCACCATGCCGCGAGCCAGCAACTTGGCGACAAAATCGGCGTAGAGCAGGGGCTTACTGAAGAGACTGGGGTCGAAAAAAGGAGCGTGAGGGCAGAACTCAGTACGTTCAGCAGCTGTAGGTTTATCTGGCCTGAGCAAGGTGCTCTGCCAGCGGCCCAGCCACTCAGATTCGGCCTCGCCTAGGCACGCGGTCAGTGGAACTGGCTGCAAGTCGGGCGAGGGCCAGGATATGGATTCCTTGACATACGGCCGTCGGGAAGAGAGATCACCCGTCTGGTAGATCCCCGTCCCCGCGAGGAGCTCACGTAGGGCCCCCTCGCGAAAACTTGCCTCGGGTGGGGGCTTGCCAAGCGCACGTACTTGAGACTCGACGTGGTCCACTGCATGCCGCTGGGCGGCGTTGGCGGGGACCGCTGGCCGGTCCTGGTGGCCATACAAGTCATTCAGGACGTTGATACACTCGTCGCCCCAGTCAAGGATGTGCTTGGAGGCCGCGCCACGCCGCCGAGTGACCCTCGACAGGTCCTGGCGGCCCGCCGCGCCGGCATGGTCTCGGCACAGCGGGGGCAGCGGAAAAACATCACGTTGGCGAACACTATGTCCCAGCGCATCAAAAACCTCTCTCTTGATCGGACCGGTAGAGGCACCACGGTCCACAGGCGTCTCAGGCAGGGAGTCACGCTGGCCGCCTGAACCAAGCGCGACCGAGGGGAACATCACCCCTCTTCCTCCCTGTTGTTCTTCTTCTTGTTGCCCTTCTTTGCAAGCTCCCTCTCCTCTCGCGCCTTGCGGCGCTCCCTCAGCAGCGCCTGCTCCTTGGCCAGCTGAAGGCTGGCCCACTCCTGGAGGAGAGGGCAGACGCACACGCCTCCCCTGGTGAGCTCGGTGCCCATGAAGAGGTGGGCGTCCACGTTGTCGTGGCTGCCGCTGGCCGTGCCGCCCGCGCTCCTGTCCCGGTAACGCTCCTGCTGTACCTGGATGGTGCGCGCCAGCAGCTCAGCGGCCGCCAAGTTGGCCCCGTTGCACTGGTCGAAACAGAGCAGCTCCTCCAGCGCACGGCAGGCCCGTTCATGCTCCTGCACTCCTGGCTCGTGCTCTTGGAGCCGAGCCTCGCTCCGCCATCGGGAGTGCATCCCGGTCGGAGTCCCGCCGTGGTCAACGATGTACCGGAGGACCCAGTGGATGGTGCGGGGGCCGCGCACCGGCCACCCTTCCCACTGGTCCTCCCGGCATGCCAGCACCGCGTCACGAAACTCTCGTCGACGGTTGCCAACCATGTCGTAGACCACTGGGAGCGTCCGTGCATCCTGGACGTGGCCACCAGCAGGCGCCACAGCGGCGGGGGCGCCCCCAAAGGCCACGGGAGGAGGTGCAGCGACTGCCGCCGCGTCTGCCGCGCCAGGAAAGGGCGCGCCGACGGCAGCACCGGCAGGCGCCGCCCCAACCCCTGGGGCCACGCCGGCCGCGGCGCAGGCGGCGGCAGGGCCAGCCGGCGGAAGAGCGGCGGGGACAAGAACTCCGGCGGGGCCGCTGGGGCCACGCCTCCGAGGGCGGCGGCGGCGCCCGCCGCTGGCGGGCCAGGCACAGCGCCGGGCAGTGCGCCAACGCCTCCGGCTGCGGGTGCGCCTGGCAAGGCACCTCCCGCCGGCGGCTCGGCAAGACGCCCGCCGAGAGCTGGCGCCACGGGCCCCACTGGCGCGGGCTGGCCGAGGCGGGCGGCGGCGGCCGTGGTCGCCGCCGTGAGGCTCGCCACGGTCGGCATCGCGCCAACCCTGAAGCGGTAGTACCGAGCTCCAGGCCGACCCAGTAGAACGCCTCCTTGCTGTCGATTCGGCAGTGGCTCCCACTCGACGATATCTGGCATACTCCATACCTCCTCATATTCGTCGCCGTCGGGAGTGGTGACCGAGACGGTCAACCCAGCTCCGAGCGGCAGGTAGGTGACCAGCCGCTCGTGGTACAGAAAGGGGCCCCCGACATTGTACCTCACCACGCAGAAGTCGCCCACCCGCAGATCGTGAGAGACAATGAGCGGGTGGCCACCTGCGGCTGCAGGCGGCATCATTGTGCCAGAGCCTTCGACCGATACTGCGCCACCTGGGCTCGGGCCGTCGCGTCCAGGTCCTCGGGATTCAGCTCTGTCCTAGCCCTCACCCCCGTCAAGCGACCAGCAGAGAAGGCCACCGCCGCCACACAGGCACACGTGAGGGTCAGCACGAGCGGGGTCAGCGGCGAGGTGTAGGCCACGTCACCAGTCGAGCACGTCAGAGGAGGACAGTGCAGCACTGGCGAGCACTCGCAGTGCGGGCAGGTAGGCCGCCCAGCCCACACGACAAGGCCCGTCGAGACCCCCTCAGCGAATCGCCCGGCAATATGGCGGAGGGCGGCTTGCATGAAAAGGAATGGGGGAGGGGCCCTGCCTCAGAGCTTGAGCACAAGTGGCAGTGGCCATGCGGCGAAGCTCCCTTCAGTGCCTGCTTCCCGTACTGAATACACCCATAAACTTTTCGCCACTGGGAGCGCTGTTCTCCCCCGCCTGATAGAGGACAGCGGGGGAGGGCCTTTCCTCTGAATGCCAATCATACGTATGATAGCAAGAGTAAAACGATGGATAAGAGTGATAAGCATAACAACAACGATAATAACAGCCCTCATAATATTCAGAATAACTGGAATGGTAATAGCAATAATAACGGCACGAATAACAAAGAGAAAATATGCGAGTTGTCACAATAATAAGAACAATAATGCGAATAGTCGTAGAAATAGTAGCAATGATATGTGTATGTGTAGTTGCCATATTCGTTGTAGTTGTAGTAGTAATAATAGTAATACGAATATTAATAATGCGAATGATAACAATACTACTAGTAATGATGATGCTGATGCTGATTCTGATGATGATGGTGATAAGGTTCTGGAGCCAACATCAAGGAATACACCAGGGAGAATGGATCATGAAACATTTTGGGAGGAGACGGCGGCGTACCTCCACGAGCTCGGCGGGGACGATGCGCTCATATACGGGGATCTCTTCACGGGCAAGCCGCTGCACTGCCAGGCGTCCCCGATCCCGCTCCCAAGGGGATGGGGGGGCCAGCTGGCAAGGCTTGGAGTTCCGCGCGCACCCTGAGATCCGGGCGCTGCAATATATCAACCAACGGACGTTGTCGCTGGGTTTCGGGCCCCAAGGGCCCTCACAGATCGATCCGGCTTCAGAAAATTCGCAGCAAGGTGGGATATGGGAATTTTTGTCGTGAATGTTCTCGATGTTCCAGTTGTTGTTCGAATCGTCGGATCTCAGCGCGCACGCACAGCATCTGGAGGTAGACCATGCCGGCCTCAACAGTTTCCCAGGGTTAGTTTGGGGAGGTCTCAACATACAGCCGCCCCTAGAGGCCTGCTGAGGCCTGCTTGAGCTACGGTCGGGGACTTTTGGATAGCGTGTCGCTCCGCCGGTTCTCGCCCACCGCGCTGCGGCGCGACACGCCACACACTTCCGAGCCTTTCCGAACCTCCCGCCCCGTGGAGCGTAGCGACACGCTATCCGCTCGCAGGGCACAGCGTGTCGCCAGGGCCGCCGCGGCGACACGCTATGAAAAAGTTCCCGAGTGTAGCTTGGGGAGGTCTCAACACCCAGCCGTTCCTGGGGGCCTGTCAAGGCCTGCTTGGGCTAACCTCAGGCGCTGTCCGTGCGGAGATCCAAGATTGGTTTTCATTTGGGGGGGCAGCCCCGCATGGCGCCGTTATCCATCCTGGCGCGGCCGATCCGAGTCGATTCTGGCTCCGCGCCGATGCGGCCCGATCCGACGCACATTTCGATTCCGATCCGATCCATCCCTGACCCCGTCTACGCCGATCGGCTCGCCTACTGCAAGTTAGCCGGCGCGCTGTTTCATGTTAGTGCAGGGTCTTTTCTTCCCTTTCATCTTCCGCATCGACCCCGTGACATTTTGGATGGGTTTTGAGTATGCCCGCAACTGGCCTCGGAGTCGAGACTATGCACCGCTTCTACTGGAATCAGATCGTCCAATCCCACCTTTTCAATACAAAAACATTAACCAACAACAGCAGCAGCAACAACAACAACATCAAACACAAACACACTCAAAAGCAACACCAACAACAACAACAACAGCAACGACAACGACGACGACGACAACGACGACGATAATAACAATAATAACAGCAGCAGCAACAACAACAGCAGCAACAACAACAGCAGCAACAACAACAGCAACAATTACAATAACAAGAGCAATCACGAAACAACCACCAAAAACACGGTTCGGCCCGCTGTCCCGATCCGATGTTGACTGATCTTGGGAGGAGCAGGGGTGTCCACGATTCGGTCGGTTCGGTTGTGAGCGTTCCGGTCGGTTCAGTCGGTTGTTGTGTCGTTGCTGCGTCGTTGCGCCCCTCTCGGCTGCTTCGGTCGATGCGGTCGCTGCCGGTTTCGGTTTCGCTGTCGGCTCAGCCAGTTCTCGGTTGCGCTTTCGCTGCGCGCGGCCGTGATGAGGCAGTGGGATCGGGCGGGCCCAAGTCCGGGATTCATTGCTCCAGGGCGTTCTGGAACGATCTCAGAGCGTTCCAGAGCGCTCTGGAATTGCCGCGGCGCCCGATACGATATGACCCCAGAGCCGCCAGATATCTGAGATCCCCGATGTGTCTTGGTCCAGTGCTGTCCCGGCCCTGGATTCGCTTGAAAGGAATGAGTGGTGAGGGCTCAATGAGAGCTTCTGACATAGGGCGAAAAGATCCATACATCTCCACCGCCGCTGGTCAGGCCCATCTTGTGCTGAGGAGCGGTGTATACGCCCCCTGGCCTGGCCGGGGAGGCATCTACACCGCTCCTGGGCCCAGGATGGGCCAGGCCAGCAGCGGTGGACATAGATCTCGTCGCGCTGCGACAGGCGGTGGCGCGGCCCACGGCCCAGGAGCTGGGCCCACGGGCCCTGCGGGGCGGCCGCGGGCGTGAGGCGCAGGCGATGGCGCGCCGCACGCCGCGGCCTGGCAATGAGAGGCGCCCCTCTCGAGGGTGGCTCGCGCCAGGGCGAGAGAGAGACCTCAGAGGACGAGGAGGTACCATAGGCCAAGTTCCCACCACCACTTCCATAGGTAGAACGGGAGAGAAGGCAGGACGTGGAGGTCCTCCTCCTCCTCCTCCTTCTCCGCCTCCTCCGCCTCCTCCCCCTCCTCCCTCCTCCCTGCTCCCTCCCCTACCTACGGTAGTGGTGGTGGAAAATCGGCCCATTAACAGGACCTTGCTTCGAAGCACCCTTGCTTCTCAGAATGTGCGGGCCTTCTCTGTAGATGTAGGGCCGGCGCCTTCTAAGAAGCGGCCTCCTTCTAAAAAGTTGTCCCCCCTCCTCCCTCCCCCTGGGCGCCTCTTGTGGCCTTCTTGGAGTGCTCGATCAAAGAAGGGGGAGGTTCCACTTACGCCCCCCCCTCTGAAGCCCCCAAGGTCGCCTCTTGGGGCCCTCTGGGAGTCTTGTAGCACTCTTGGGCACTCTCGGGGCGTCTCGGGCCCTTCTGGAGCCGGTTTCCCTCCAGTGTTTGAAGGATGTGGGCCTCTTGGGAACCTCCTGTGGAGGCTCCGTGGCCTCGTCGACCCGTCTTGGATTGGTGTTGGGGTCTCGTCGAGCATGCTAGAAGCCATCTAGAACGATCTTGCGCTATCTTGGGCCGTCTGCGAGGTCATCTTGACCTCTCGGAAGCCTTCTTAGAACCAAAACCGACCCCATGTGCGCGACGCTGGGGCCCGAGCGTGCCAGGCACGTCTGGTGCACCAGATGCGCCACGTGCTCAACGTGCGCCAGGTGTGCTGCATACTCCAGCCGCGCCAGGTGCGCCACGTTCGGGGCACGTGCAGAGTGTGTCAGGTGCGCCTGCGCACGTGATAACACACATCGGGAAGATGTCGGCCCCCATCATCCTTGTCGAAAACCAAAGCCCATCATTGTGTCTGGTGGGCCTTCGCACAGCAGGCCATACGCCACCACCCCGGGCGTCCCTGTCAAAAAAACACTTCACAGAGATCGCGGGGTGGCTGCGCATGATCCAGGCTTATCCGCGAAATGCATGTTGTATTATTTTGATAAAGAAGGATGGTGGCCCTGTGCGCAGCAGACAATATTCTGACACCCCCGCGGTCCCTGCCAAAAAAACATACAAAGTGCCCGCGGGCGTCACGAACATGATTCAAGACTTTGCCCCAAGGTGTACTTTGCATTGTTTTTTGAAAGGCATGGTGGGGGGGGGCGCATCGGGTTTGTAGCGCATGCTCCGAATGTGGAGGCAGAGCGCGTTTTGCATTATTTGTTGACAGGGATAGTGGGGGGGTGAGCATGGTGTCCTCATTGTTCCTGGTTGGCTGCCGGTCGCCTGGGGGAGGGTGTGTATGTTAATAGGGAACAGTAGTGATGAACCCCTCCCCGAAGAGGAAGAGGGACGATGAACGAGGAAACTTGCTAAACCATTCACGCTCAGAGGGCTGGTGGGATTCAGCACCAGGGTTCGGCACGAACGAAATGGGTACGGAAAGAATGGGTACAATGCCCAACAGCAGTTCCTGTTCATTTTGAGCAGGATTCGCTGTCCGTGCCGCCGCGGCTGTGTCCGTTTGAGACAGAAGGCCGCCTGCCCAACAGCGGCCGCTGTTGGTTTGGAACAGCATTTGCTGTTGGGCATTGTACCCATTTTTTCCGTACCCATTTCGGGCGTCCAAAGGCTCCCCCGAGCCCTGGAGCACCCCGGGGGCCCGCTTTTCGTCCCAGGGTCGTTTCTGTTGACGGCCCCAGGGCCTGGCAAGGGCCCCGATCCCCTGGAGCTGGCTGCTGGGCGGCTGCGGTGGCCCGGCATGGGTTCCGGCCAGCAGCAAGGTTGGAGACAGGGGCCGCCTCCTCGTGCACGACCGACGCGGCTCGATGCATTTGGTTACACGCCGGTCGTTGAAAGTAGGTATTTCTGGATTCCCAGATCCCAATCTATTCCAAGCGCCTTTCTACTTCAAGAATCGAGGTGCTTCGGCTGCGTTTTGTTACTGTCTGGGAGGGCCTGAACCCA